CATCTGCCTCAGCCTCTGATGCCTCAGGAATCAGACCTGCATCAGCCTCAGCCTCAGCCTGCATCAGCCTCAGCCTCAGCCTCAGCCTGCCTCAGCATCAGCCTGCCTCAGCCTCTGCCTCAGCCTCAGCCTCAGCCTGCCTCAGCCTCAGCCTCAGCCTGCTTCAGCCTCAGCCTCAGTCTGCCTTCAGCCTCGGCCTCAGCCTCAGCCTGCCTCAGCCTCAGCCTGCCTCAGCCTCAGCCTCAGTCTGCGTCAGTATCAGCTTGCCTAAGCCTCAGCCTCAGCCTGCCTCAGCCTCAGCCTCAGCCTGCTTCAGCTTCAGCCTCAACCTTAGCCTCAGCCTCAACCTTTTCCTCAGCCTCAGCCTCAGCCTGCATCAGCCTCAGCCTCAGCCTCAGCCTGCCTTCAGCATCAGCTTGCCTCAGCGTGTGCCTCAGCCTGCTTCAGCCTCAGCCTCAGCCTCAACCTCAGCCTCAGCCTCAGCCTGCCTCAGCCTCAGCCTGCCTCAGCCTCAGCCTCAGCCTGCCTCAGCAGCAGCCTGCCTCAGCCTCAGTTGGCTACGGGCATTCAAAATGTGGCCAGGGAATGGAGTTCTGGGAACTCGAAGAGCACGAAGTGGCCTACAGTTGGCTCCGGGCATTCAAAATGTGGCCCGGGAATGGAGTTCTGGGAACTCGAAGAGCACGAAGTGGCCTACAGTTGGCTCCGGGCATCCCAAATGTGGCCCGGGAATGGAGTTCTGGGAAATAGAAGAGCACGAAGTGTGTTGACTGTATGCATCCGGCCTCCAGGATTGTGGCCCTGGGAATGTGGGAAGGGGAATGGAGAGTTCAACTGGAGGTTTGGGGAATTCGAAATCCTGGGACTGTGTATATGATGTTGCATCCGGCCCTCCAGAATGTGGCCCGGGAATGGAGTTCTGGGAACTCGAAGAGCACGAAGTGTGGGACTGTTGCATTCGGCCCTCCAGAATGTGGCCTGGGAATGGAGTTCTGGGAAATCGAAGAGCACGAAGTGTGTGACTGTTGGCGAAAAACGAGCCCGGCACCTGCCGCCCGGCAACTCCCAACACCTGCCCGGACCCCCCTGTGGAGTGATCTGTGAGCTCTTTTGGGTCAACTAGAAACCTATCAGTCTTCGCTGTTAGGTAATAAATGGTGAGGAAACTCCACGCCAGAGCGCGAGTTCTGCATAAATTGTGAAGAGGTCCCGCGCGAGAGCGCGACTTGGGAATATAGTGTGAGGAAGTATCAAGGCGGGAGCCGCTGCTGCTGTAAACCATGGGCCAACAACCCGATCCCGATACCCAAGACTTTCCCTAATAAAAAACACTGTGCGAGCCCGGGGCAGGGCCTTTATATTGACAATATGCCCAGAGGGGAGATCAGCAATAATTATTCCTTAGAAATGAGAATTCAACGACAACAGCAATCGCCTTAAGACTGTTCGTTCTTGTCTGCTCGCGTGCCACCCAACATGTATATCTCAAACCCTCGATATCCGCCGTCTTCGTCTTCGACCGTCTGTCTTAGGGGTATATCTTTCTTACCTGCAACGTGTATTTCGTGCAGACCCAACAGCAGGGGGAGAGAAAACGGACGAAAGGAAGGGGCAGGGGGGAGAGAGGAGGATGGAGCACGAGGAAGAATAGCAGGAAGGGGCTAGGAGCAGAAAACATGGCAGAACCAGCGCTGGCAGATCCGGGCGGTAGACCCTAGCGGGCGGGTCTGGAAGGCGGGCCCAGGCGGCCAGGTCGAGCAGGGGCCTATTGGGAGCCTCTTGGGGGCCTCTGCGCCACACGTCCTCCCCGCTGCGCCCAAGGGTCTGGGCCGCACCCCCGCGCCTCGCGAGGCTGCTGCGGCAGGCGCCGTTGCCGCGCCGCCGCGCCGCCGCCGAGGCCGCCCCCGCCGCGCCGCCCGTCGCCCCGGCCGCGCCCGCGAGGCCCCCGAGGCAGGCGAGGCCGCCGCGCCGCCCCGCCCGCGCCGCCGCCGCGCCCCCGCCGCCGCGGCAGCGCCGCATCGGGGCCAGTGCCCACGACCGGGCGGGGCAGCGCGCCAAACCGGGCCCCCCCCGAAAAGAATAAAAAAAAAAAAAAAAAGAAATAGGGGGCAAGCGGCCGACGAGGTGACGAGCGCCCGGCCGGGGAGCCGACAGCTGCGGGGGGAGGGGGGGAGGGGAGGGGTAGAAGGGCGAGGAGAGGGGGAAAAGGGGGGAGGGGGAAAAAAAATGGGGAGAGGGGGGGGAGGGCCAAGGCGGAGAGGGGGAGGTGAAAAAAAGGGGAGGTGGAGGGGGAGGGAGGAGGGGGAGGGGAGGGGAGAAAGGGGGGACGAAGGGGAGGGGGAAAGGGCAAGCTAGGTGCGCTCGCGTCATATCTGACGTCCTACCCCTCCCTCCCATCCCTTACCATGGCGCTGATTTTCTCTATCCGCGGACGCGTGTCGTAGCGGACCTGTGCTCCGCGCGCGCGTGCGTAGTGGGTGGTGGTGCACGTGCGTGCGTGCGTGCGTGTGTGCGTGGTTGTCGTGGTGGTGGTGGTGGTGGTGGTGGTGGTGGTGGTAGTGGTTGGTGTGGTGGTGGTGGTGGTGGTGGTGATGGTGGTGGTGCTGGTGG